GTATTGAACTTTGTTGTTTTACCAAAAGTTGTTCCCATTGATGACCTTGACGATGATGATGTAGTAGAATATGACGATTTAGTCTTTGAAATTCAAAGATCTGATTCTAATAATGATGATATTTGGACGTATGAAGAAGCACTGACAGACGTCGACTATGAAAATGTCACGGAAGAGCACTTTCTGTCATATGACCACAACGGAGACGGTCATATTTCAAGTCAAGATGCCTGGCTTGTTTTCGAGTTGCTACCAGGAACTGGAAATTACCTTAATTTGGAGAATTTCCTAATTATCCAAGCTACACGAGATAAAAAATCACAGGGACCAGAAATAGATATTAAAGCCTTTGTCCATGCCGTGAAAGATTTTAGAATCATCGATGTGGATGACGATTTCATTTTGACGAGGAAGGAATTTAGAATGAGATTCAAAAGCGCTGATAGGAATAAAGACGGGCAGTTGACGGGATCAGAAATAAGAAATCTTTTTCCAATGAGAAGCACCCCTCCACCAAATATCTGTGGAGATTGGAATGTCGACTGCTCACAAGATGACGCCATGGCGTTATTTGATTCAGCAGCTACGGAAAACGGGTCGCAACTTTCTGTTGATGAATATATTCGACATTTCGGTCCCTTGGTTAAAATTTAAGATGGTATATATAGAATCCAATTGTGTTTGACCAAACATTATGAAATAAAATACTTTCATTGAATCTTCCAAATCATTTCCTTCAAACGTATTTTAAGCCATAGAAGAGTAAAGATTCGCACGGAAGCGTATTAAGGCCATTCAATTTTTTTTTTAATTTTCAAGTTAGTAACTTGAATTTTCAAGTTAGTATGTTGAATTTTCAAGTTAGTATCTTGAATTTAGTAACTTGAATTTTCAAGTTAGTATGTTGAATTTTCAAGTTAGTATCTTGAATTTTCAAGTTAGTAACTTGAATTTTCAAGTTAGTATGTTGAATTTTCAAGCTAGTATGTTGAATTTTCAAGTTAGTATCTTGAATTTTCAAGTTAGTATCTCGAATTTTCAAGTCAGTATCTTGAATTTTCAAGTTAGTATCTTGAATTTAGTAACTTGAATTTTCAAGTTTGTATGTTGAATTTTCAAGTTAGTAACTTGAATTTTCAAGTTAGTATCTCGAATTTTCAAGTTATTAACAAGATACTAACTTGAAAATTCAAAAAAAAAAAAAAAAAAAAAAAAATGAATGGCCCTAATACGCTTCCGTAGATTCGACTATTGTTATCTGATATTATTCTGGTATCACATTATGGCGAATATTCTTGCCAATATGAATATTTGAATTTCGCTGTGAATTAGCCCAAAAATTGCGATTGGATAGTGAATATTTTCACCTCGGTCACCAGTTGGTGATAATGAAATTGACTTGAAAATTGGGCCTTTTATACTCTGGACACCTCCCATGTGCGAATGCCATTTATATTCGCAATATTTGTCTAAATTTGCAATACATTGACACTTTGAAAATAACACGCGTTCGCGAGCACTGGAAACCATTCGTTAGCATTGGCAATCCATTGGGAAGTACGTGTTCGCAACAAATTCTCTAAAATATTGGTAAGCCATTGGTAAGATATTCTCAACGTTGGCAAAGCATTGGTGAAGCATTTGTATCAGTTACACATACCTTTACGCAAGCTTTAGCAACGTTCCCAATGGCTTACCAATGCTTACGAAAAACTATGGCGAATATTAATGGCCGTCTTCACAACATTCGTTGAAATTTAAGAAGCGCTACCTATAGGCCTATGGACCGATCTTGGGAAGAAAGTGGTGAGTGACTTGTGAACGTTCTGAATTTGTTACCTTCGCTTACGAAGATACGGCGAACGTCGCGAAGTTTGAGCGATTGTCAAATATTTCCATTCGTAAGCATATTCCCCACAGTGTGAGACAAGCATTAACAAATTAGTGGGTTTTTTTTATTATCCAGTAACATTAAGATCGAATTTGGTGCCACAAACGGCGTCTCGACGAATTATCACATTAATTTTAAATTATATATACAGCCTTTACCGCATGAAATTTCAACAACCTATATTTAACAGGATGGGCCTAGTCATCTCATTAGTTCCTGGTTCCTAACCCTTTTTTTTAAACCGCGGCATCAGATTGCGAACACGAAGTAACAACAAAGTAGTCATTTACATAACATTGAATATTTGGCCATATTTGAAAGAAGATCTACATGTTGCCGAACTGTACACACTAACAATATTTTCAACAACATGGCATCTGGGCAACATGTCACCAATAATGTTGTCAGTGTGTGTAGGCCTACAATAACCTACTTTACTTTTTAAATGAATGCGGAGGCCATCTGTTTTAATTTAGGTCAGCACGTGCTTTCAGGTATACGTTCAATAACTTTCGTTATCGCCAGATAATCATCAATCAAAAGCATATATACATACGTGTATTTACAAATATATGCCTTGGTCCTTATCAAGAGGAATATTTTAGACAGGGGTATTAATGGACTGTTGGTTTTTATATTACTAATATGTTGTCTGATTTGAATACACTTGTCTTATAAGGGAAATAATTTAAAAAAAAAAAAAAAAATTCAGTGATTTGTTCAGTTTGAAGACATAAAAAGAAAGTTTATTCCTTTTCTTATGTAGGCCTGGAATGAAAACCTATAGTTATATATATATAAAAAATAACTTTTCTACGTTTTGTTATTTATTTGTGGATAAAACTCTGTATAACATTTACTGTATTGAGATCAAGGGAGACCACTCAAAACTGTATTGTTTATGAAACACATGGAGGTTGATATGAATTTGGATATTTGAAGGTATTCAAAGTAAATATTGTGTATAGTATTACTGAACTGATAACTTTGGATTTTGATATGAAATATTGATGTCTTTGGTTCCATTTGGCCAGAAGTCAACATAAAGTATACATGTGAATTATTAGTGGTATGCATTTGAGACAATTGTCCAATATTAGCAGTATGGAGGCAAGGTAAGAAAGCTTGTGTACCGATACTGTAAACACTTCTTACTGTATGACCAATTTTTATGTCAACATTACCCTTTCTGATTACAATATTTACAGAATCTCATTTTACCAATTATATCTGTAGGAATTTAAAAATCAACTTCAAAATATTACTGAGGGTCTTCTTTATCAAAATGCCAACAAATGAAAAATTATTCTTTGAAATTTTGATTTAACAGCGGGAAAATTTGAGGTCGAATTGTGGGTTTATTTCACAAGGAATTTATGTATTTATTTCGAATGTAAAATTTCCAAACCTTATATTTCATCCTGAAGACATTCGTTATTTTTGAAAGATTATTGCATAGGATAAAATGTTAAAAGAGGAAAATATCATTTTCAGAAGTTTGTTGTATATGGGGCAATTTTTTAGTCAAAATTTAGGAGTTGAAATTCCATGAAACCAAGTCTGCTTTTAAAAAAGTGAACCTAACAAAACTTTATTTCTCGATCAAAGTCATCATTTATTATCACTATCAGTATTATGTTGAAGCTGATACTCGAAATGAAAAAATATCTGTAAAATCTGAAAGAGGAGATTGGACTTGGCCAAATCTCTTAGCATATATCTTTACCAGATTAAACTTGCAGCTTGTTTGACTTGAATAATGCGAAAAAAGGACAACATATTCCAGGTCACAAGCCGAGTAGGTAAGAACTGATGTAGCCAAGAAAATGTTGTTAATCCAACTCTCCAACTGTGCTACAGCTACGATGCTCAAATGGGAGTTTCTCTTCGTTTCCACAAAGAGCTAGATATGAAATATTTTATCCTGTGTAATGAAAACACTATTCAACTACTTGATAATGTTTAATGATTGGTTTACAGACATATATTAACAAATGGTAATGAAAAATAGTAACAAATAGAATTCATCTAATATTTATCAACGAAAGTTGGTGGTCATCTGCATATTTCAACATGATTCAATATTGATTTTGGAATATATTTCAGTGAAAAAACTATTTCAATTATATAATTCATAATTGATCTGATTTCACTCTTTATAGATTTCACTTAAATTTCACTGATTATAGATTTCACTGATTATAGATTTCACTTAAATTTCACTGATTATAGATTTCACTGTTTATAGATTTCACTTAAATTTCACTGATTATAGATTTCACCGATTATAGATTTCACTTATTACAGATTTCACTTCGATTTCACTGATTATTTTGATTTACAATTTCAACTTTGGATTTCAACAGAAAAATTCCAATACTGTTTCCTATATAGATTTTGATTTACAATTTCAACTTTTGATTTTAATAGAAAAAGTTCAATATTGATTTCGTAATTAAAATTTTAGGATTTCACAATCAATAATTGGATTTCAATGATACAACTATTATTGATTGGTTGGTTGAGGACAAGTTAACATTCGCTTCCAGCGCATGCTGATATCACAAATTAGGTAGTTGTTGGTAGTCGTAGTAGTTGGTAGTTGGACAACTATTATTTTTCTTCCTTACCCTTTATAGTACAATTCATGCATTTCCCGTTTTCATTAGCCTATAGGATTATTTTATTTTATATTTCCTAACCCTTTGGATTTCATTAATAAAATTGAGCATTTGTCTACAGATTGTCAAATATATTGAAAGAAATCACAATTATTTTTCTAAAAGATTAGTTTAAGTCAAGTTACAATTTATGTACACATACTTCATTAAAGGAATTGAACAATTATTAAATTTAGTGGAAGATTTCTGTTTGTCAGTATTTGTATATTTAGATTTTAGAGTTTTCTCCCTTCTTATTAACAAAATTTTCTTCATAAAATTCTAGAATTTCTAAACTTTTGAAAGTTTGATTATTAATTAGGCCCAATGATGGAAGTCAAGTGAATATTCAAAAAATACCCTGCATGACGTTCCCCGTCTTCATTGGCCCTCATGGTCATTTAAAAATAGCTTTTTTGTGCCCCAAAATATGTGTCAGGTTGCACCAAATAAATTCTCTAAAGAAATTTTTGGGGAGAAAAACTCCTTCGACACTCTATGGGAGACTGGTGAAATCTCATCGCGAGAGTTGTTTCCCCTGTTAAGTCAATCCCATTTTGTACCCTTGTTTTCAGGAAGCAAGTGCCGTCACTATACCTTTATCAGTGGTATTATTGATATTGTCGCAAAGATTTTTAAGATGAACCACAGATTATCAGCTGTTGAATTGCTAGAAGTAAACCAATTCATATTTTTTTGCAGATGAATTAATATTTTTATGATTGAAGTATGTCCCAATGATGGGGTAGTTTTTGTAAAACATATAAACACAGACACATAAAATATCACAGTTGTCTGGATTGACAGAATTGAATCCATTCATAGACATCTGTCAATCTTTTGGAAAACATTGTCTTAAAAAGTGAGTAAGAATTGTCTTTTGGTACTTGGTCCAACAATGGCTCATGTTGCCGTGCAAAGTTTTCTAAAGTCTGGTATGGCTCTGGAGTATTATGTAAAGATCTTATTGCCTTCACAAGTGGCTTTTCAAATATACACATAGTTTGTAACATTTGTTGATGGAATGTCACAAATTGTTTGCCATTTTGGCCACTCTTATACAACAGATCGTAAGCATCTAATAGTCCACTTTCATTGTCAATTAACCACAGTTTAGAAGTTTTGACTGATTTGCGTAAATTGCGAATGTGTTCCTTCAAAATACTTGGATCTTTTTCTCTGAAGGCTCCATCTTGCATACTTCCTACCCTGAAAAACAAACCAAAAGTAATTTCATATTTTTTAGATGCAAATCAATACTCATGATAAATATTTTAGTCACCAAAAAGGCTGTGACTATTTCGTACTGCAACGGTACAGAAATGGTCATTAAAAAAACATATGGGCATCCCAACAAAGTTACTTTATATCGTTCTTGACAATCAATATGGCTTCACACTTTAAAACAACCTAAAACTAGGGTACCTATTGTGTCCTATTTTATCCGTACATGCATCATGAAGGTGCAAATAGCCAGTGTGCACCAAAAAAGGCATTATCATATAACAGACTGATTCTAGTGGAAGTTCTGCTTTCAGAACTGAATTTTCAATTTTACAAAAAATTTGCCATTATCGATTTTATTACTGTTTTGTGTCATAAAATATCACTAGAAGTAAATGTTATTTACCTGTCATAGTTAGCAGTAAGATAATCATAAATAATCATGGAACCCCATTGAACTAATTGAGATAATACGGTAGGTGTTAAATTGTCATCAGCTAATGATACTACATCTACCACTGACTTACTCTCTAATCCTTCTAATATCTGACTAGGCATATACACATACGATCTGCAATTCAAAATAACATAATAACAATAACAAAATATTTTTACTGTAAAATTAGTACTTTACATATTAATTGTATCGCAATTCAGAGAAATATCAAAATCAAACCTAAAACATGTTTTTACTCAAAGCTTCACACTGTGGAATCCCCAGACAACTGACAATTTCAGCCTGTTTCCTTATAGTGTGGACACACAAAATGTCATGGTCGGAGATTTCTGTCGCTGACTAGAGTCTTGTCAAGAAGTTCACTGGCCAGCTGCAGACACACAAATCTCCAGTCGGTCGTGTTCTATCTTGTGGATAATCACGTGTGGATCATGCAATTGAAAGGTAAATGATTGGATGCTGATGCTCTGTCTTACAGACGATAAAATAAACGATATAATAAATCCTGTTGTCAACGAGATAATCTTGTTGTGAAAGTGTGAGAAATTTTACTTGAGATTCAAGTCAGCAACAAAAATCGCTGACATAGACTGTTCGTGGACCCGCACTATTACTCTGTGTCACTCAAATTTCAGAATCTCCTTTCCAGAAATTTTTTTTCTCTATACACCATCCTTGCCTCTATCCTAACCTAGTTGTGGACCTGGATTGGTCGCTTCATAAATATCTCGAACTAAACTTGAAGACAATGCTGCCAGTTGAAAGGCCATTGAAAAGGTGTATAGTCGTTTGAATGGAATAGTAAACATAGGCCCTATGTGATTTTGCAAAGGAGTAGGTTAATTCTCTCATTGTGCACTGCATGGCATTAACCGTCTTCATTAAGTCAAACATTGGAAAAGTAGGAAAAAAAAATCTATTGCTTTTTTTGTTGCTGTTACATGGCATGTTGTAAAATACAATAGTAAATTTTTGAGCTAATTAAACCATGTCTTAAAAATTTCTTACTGTCTTGTGTCCATATCAGGAATCCATTGGATGAGAGCCACATATTGATCAGTTTGCCAATCTACTGCTGTTAAATTATGTTGATTCCATTGATGTGATGATTGATTTAACTGAGACAATACTACTGCTGGTACATTATCCATTTTTAATAATTTAGATAAATAAAATGACAAAACTTCACCTGAAATTTAAAGAATGACAATAATTTTCTGGTTTTCAAGAATTCGATTACCTTGACAAATGTTAAGTGATGAAAATGTATGAACATTTCATAAATTGGTGTAAATCTCATTAATATATACTTTGTGACAAAAAAAGCAAAGTCAATTGACAGACACTCATTCATCTATTACGAAGTCTGTCTTGTTTAATAACATCATTATGAACTATTCTTGTGTTGTTGAGATTTAACACAAGAGAAAACAGCCAATCAGAGCCCTTCACAGTCAGTCATATCTCTTGACACATTCATATCACTTCTGTGATATAAGAAAAGTGCCTATTGGTGGCAAGGTATTAGACAGAGCTCGTAAAACCTTGACATTGTGAAGATGACAAACATCATGATTGGGACAGTGATGTCCTACTTCATTCCATGTCTGCTCTTCTGTTAAGAAGTTAGTAAGAGACTATGTCAGTAAAAGAGACCTACAAAAGATGTATAAAAAAACACAAAAATCTTACCAAGAACCAATTTATTGAGAGGATGCCTGTAACGAGCACAGAGAGCAGTCCCGTCTTTTAATACAACATAACGGTTTTTATCACGTCCACATTTATTCCAGGTTGGTAACTTCAGATCCTTCACTGGTTGATGACGAACATTCTCTGTCCATGATGAAAACTGATCATTTGAAAGACCTAAAATGATAAAGTATGAAATATGTTAGATAAAGTGCAGTGATGAAAATAAATTAAGCAAGGTAAGTGTCCAATCCATTTCTAGCCTAATTTGATGAGGTGGTTTTGAAACTTTTCTCAGAACAGACTGACTAGATGAATTGGTGTCATGTTATCAGCCAGCATTCCAAGAATGGTTTACTGCACATGGCTTAAAACCAACCTTTGCCTTTTTGTTGCGAAATTGAGACATTATTCAGTGCCATTGTACAGGGGACAACATGGCCCTTTTCTTTTTAAGAAGATTATCACAGGAAAGGATGGCAAAAGTGATTTCTGATTACACTTCATGAATAAAACCTTTCTCAGACCACTTCACAACTGGGCAAATTGTATCATGGTCTGGTGTAAATGGGGCTTTACGCAGAAATCCATCAGTTACCACTCTCGCAGCCACAAAATTTTGTGGTATTATGGTGAACAATTGTAAAGTGATCGCTGGTAATGATGTTTTATCCTCAGGGCTCTGATGCCCTTTTTTTCTATTCAATCAGTTGAAAATGCTGAACACTATTAACCTAATTGCAGTCACTTCATGGTGATTGCTGAATATTATGTAATTAATTGGAAATATAAATATGTATTGTATTATATAAGAAACAAAATAAGAATTGCTAATTTGATTGCAGTAATTACAAAAAATTACAGACATAATTGGTAATAATAATTTATTGTTCACAGCATGTCTTGAGTAATAAACAAACTTAGATTAAAACATATTATATCCAGCCTATATTTTTTATATAAATATTTGTATTTATAACAAGATATTACATATAAAGATATTGCAAAAGTATACAAAACATCTTTAACATTATTTTCTGTTGGTTACTTTGTTTAGTTTAAATGCTTGAAAATATGGTTCTGTCAATTTAAGATGTTATATTGATGTAAATTTTGATTCAGTACTCATGCATATATGTCAGGAAAAGGAGGTCTGATTTTATGAGCTTTTTCAAGCAGTGTTTTTTTTATGCTTATTTGCATTGAAAAGCACATCTTTTTTATAATTGAACACAGAATTTCTATTTTGAGAACTTATCAATATCAAAGCATTGGATGTTTTTCACTATTTCCCTGCATAATTTGCCTGAATTTTGCTATTATGACCTTTCAATTTTTAGACTGTTAAGATGACGTTGTAAATGTAAAGGTGAATTGCATAAATCCTTAGCAGTATGAATTTGCGTGAGATGATCGTAAGTCTAACGTTTTGGTGTAAACTTAAGCACTTTAGTGAAACGGAGGAGCCTGAAATTTTTTTTAGTTTATCGATGTATAGCCACGTCAATCAAACAAACTTAATGATAAAAGTAGTGTGTTAAGGATCGGAGCTTATATTTATATTCTGTTTACACAGATATAAATCGAACTCACGTGACTTCTGTTATCCAATCAAATTGCGTGATATTGTGTAAACAGAATCGTCATTTAATTATTTTAGATTGTTGAAACATTGTGTACAATAATACTAAGGAGTAGTATACCATAAAATTGTGTTCTGTTATTTTAAGAATTCTTGAGTAGAACAAATCTGTATTAATTAAAGGGGAAGTATGTTCTAGCATCAAATTATGAGAATTGAAGAAAATCGTGTCTCACTAAGGTACACAAATTATCAATTACTTTGGTTCATGCCAATAGGAGTTTTATAAACTTTCATTTTCTTAAAATCTTTTTAAAAATAGTTCAATTTTAAATTTGATTCAAGATTTTAGATTAAAGATTTTTCACCATAACTTTCAGTGCCAAATCTGCAGCAAGACTTATAATGTACAAAATTCAAAATATTCTAAGTAAACCAATGCATATATTTCCACTTTAAATGATATATAACTTCATAGTGTTTATCATGTGTTATGACACTTAAGGTATTAACACTTTATTCAGTATAGTGTTCAGAATAAACAGTGTTATTATGTTATCTTATGTTAAACTAATACACTTTAATATCATAATTACTCTAACATATAAAACATCACTCTTAATAACTACTTTACCAAATACCAGGTTAAGGTAATGTCATAAAAACTTGGTACTAAATACCATTAGTTACTTATAACTTACTTTTTTTATCATTTGAGGTCGAATTTATTAGATTGTTTTTTGTTTTATTCTGGTTTTTGCTTGATTCTTGATAAATTCAGAGAGACTAATGTCACTACCAGTTCTTCAAATGTTGTTAAAGTATTTTCATAATTTTGAAAAAAAAATTGACTTTTAACGATTAAAAGAATAAAAGAAAAAGATAATTTAACATTACATACGATTTATTCTTTAATGGGAAACAGTCATATTTGCTCAATTACCAGCTGATAGAACTTCTTTTCAGCTATCTATAAAACTTTTCAGAATTAAAATAAAAATCTCTACAAGCAAGACAATTCTGTTAACCAAAAATCTCCTCCAAAGAATGGCAAATTCAGGAATAATAGTAGTTTAATAGTAGACTCCTCCAAAGAGAAGTACCATAAGGTGTTTCAAAAAAGAGTAAGCATAGTCTGCAATCTAAAAAAAGCAAACCATGTTGGTATGGTTTGTCCTAGCTGAATATTAATTGGTAATATGAGTGTTAATATAAGAAAGTTGGTAATATGAGAGTTAATATAAGTAAGTTGGTAATATGAGAGTTAATATAAGTAAGTTGGTAATATGAGAGTTAATATAAGTAAGTTGGTAATATGAGAGTTAATATTTGGAAGTAGTGATATATTATTGTATTGTTTATTATCTATATATTATCTCTTTAACACTAGTATACTATCTTTTACTATTTTTACCAGATACTGTTACTATGATTGATATAGTGTAAAGTACTAAACATGTGGTCACTTTACCTTACAACTTCTTTATCTGGGCTTTGTCCAATTCTTTGTTTTAAGTATATGTATGTTGTATCATTTTCAGTAGTTTCAGGAATGGAATTCCAAAAAGATACAAAATTTCTATTAAGAGAGTTGAGTCAAGCAAAGATATTTGTGCGCATTTTGGTCATTCTTTGGTACTGTAAGCAGTCATGCACATAATATAAGTCACTTTCAAATAGTATTTATTTTATTCTTCTAAAACATTAAAGAAACTTCTTGTATTTTGGGATATCAAAGGAATGTGAACAAATGTTAAAATTCATAGAAAAAATCGTGAAAAATAAGATACCAACAACCAAAAACAATATAAGTCTTAAATCTTCCAAGTTTCATTTAAAAATATATTTTGAAAATCCACAAAATTCACATTAAAATGTTTATATTGTTAAACCAGTTAGCTCCTGTTCATTCAAGATAAAAAGAGAAAAACAAAGTTTGTCTACATTTAAGGGATTGAAAAGAGGATTTCTAAATTCTTCATGATTATCAGGGACAGTGATAGCATCAATTTGCACCATTCTAAGAGGTGTGTTGTTCCTGCAATTCTACTATAACTAAGAGTGTTTTATGACGTTACTCTGGCAAAATTTGCTCGCAAACATCTGATTGAAAATTGGAATGGCGCAAATTGATGCTATTGTTATCTCTGATACACATACAAAATTTAGAAAACCTCTTTACAATCCCTTTAAAATACTTTTGTTTAATTAGTTTTTTTGGTTGTTTCAGTTGTTTTACAAGGAAACAAATTTGAATATCTAAATTGAAATGTATGGATTTTCCTTTTGTAGCAGACTTTTTTCAGGAATTGGTTCAAAATGCGTTCTATGTAATTTGATTTAAGGTTCCTAGAAGTGGAATTTAAATGGATGATAATTATGTTAAGTGATAATAAAAGTTCTTGTCAATAGCAAATTAAATAAATTCTTAATATGCTATAAAAGTGCCACATCAAATTTTTCATTTGAAAATTAATGTAAATGTTATTACTTCTATTAAGAGGCCATATTAAGCTATTAAGTGTTAAAGTACTGGTACCATTTAGGAAGACAAGGAATAATTAAAGGGATAAATATAGTTTACTGTTTGTTGAAGTGTTATAGCTTTTAAAGCAGTTTTTCTCAACTGGCGCACCATTTGTCTTGCATCAGCGCTTTGGCAATTCCAAATATGATGCTTTAGCAAATTTACTTAACAGGCGATGTCTTATAGTTTGCAGCAGGTTTCCCTGTTTGTGTTTGATATGCAAAAGATTATTGGGACATATACCACAATTACATTACAAAAATTATCTGTTCTGTTAACAGTTCCGAGAACGGAACGGATGAAAAATTACTAGTGTAAATGGTCGAGCCTTTGAGACTACCAAGTCGAGGTGGTCTCGGAACAGTTCTCAGAAAGGAACAGTTCAAATGTAAAATTGTAAAAGTGTAAAAGGTCAAGCATTCCAAGAACAGTTCTTACGCATGCATCTTGACCCCTTAACATATTCTACAGTTTTGCAAGCAGGCAAAATTGCCTTCCTCGGGGTTATTAGAACGTCTAAAATTAACTCTTTCGTGGAGAGTTCAATTAAAATGCGTCTGAGAACAATAAATCATTTACAATATTGTTATAGAACTGTTAATGGTAAAATTTTTGTTATTTTATCGCGTCCGGGTCGAGACCGATAACAGAACACTTTGTATGTAAACAGGGCTATTGACTACATCTGATTCTTGTGTGGACCCTGCATGGGATTTGGCAATTCCAAATATGATGCTTAAGCAAATTTTCTTTACTAACCCTATAGTTTTCTACAGATTTCCCTGCATTTGATTGATATACAATTGATTATTGGAACATAGAAGTTTTAAATGATAACAATATAGCCTAATGAAACCAATATAAAAATTTGGTAAAAAATAAATTAGACAGAATAAAAAAAAGATATGATTAAGAAATACAGAATAAAGTCAGAAGATATTACCAAAATTTAGGAAAATAAATGTAACACTGATGTCAGTTAATCAATTTTCGTTTCATTTCCGTTTTAAGATTGGTGAAGGAGGAGACAGCATGAAGCCAACTAAATAACCATCAGTTTGACACATGATAAAATAACAGGGTTAAGAGGTAGTTAACCCTTTAAATTCTCTCAATTTAGAAATTTACTATTTCCAGATTTATTTTAACGACCATTTTTAATGACCATTAACTCTACAATTTCTAACTTTTTAATGAACTATGTTTATCAAATAGGTGAAGGGAGGAACAATAATTCTATGAGGTACAAATTTGAAATTTCAAATGTTCACAGAATATGTCACTGTATGAAACATTTTGAAACATTCCAAATA